TATTTATTTAATTTTTTGTAGTAGGTAGTAACGTGAGGAAACTCGAAACATGGTGACGAGTCCCACTTTTAGAAAACACTCGTGGTATCCCCTAAATTGAGCAAGTGGTCTGGCACCCTGTTGCAACAACTGTTGTTTAAGCTAATCTGCTATTTTGCCAGCGTCTGGGCACTTGCTCAATTTGGTGTATACCTATAAAGTCGGTGAATTTATATACTTTTAAATGTGTGCGGAAATGCATTCGAACGTACATGGTTTAATATGTCAGTGTTCATCTGTGCTTATTATCGATCAAAAGGTGCATGTTGGAATGCGTTAAAGTTTCCCAGTCTTTTGCGCCATCGCTATTGCGTTTTCATTGGCAATCATTTGAAACTCTTGGAAACGCTGTGAAATGCGTTGATTCATTTTCAGGTACTTCTCCATACAATTAAGTGCACAGCGCTCCTGTACAAAAACGATTTGAGAAGATATTTTAAATTATAAAAAGTAAACAACAGTATCCAGACAGTCGGAAAATTCAGCTAGTTACCTCATTGTCTTTGACCACACGCGAAGTAAAGTCGCGAACACAATCTGAGAAACACATTTCCGATAGTTTATTGTAAGACATCAGAAAATCAGAAAACTGCGCTAGTTACAATATTTAAATTTGTTTATTAGTAATACTCCTTGCGAATAGAGCAGCGATTATGCAAACTTACCGTTTTCATTTGATCCTTGTCTAGATTATCGATTGAAACATTTTGCCCCGCTTCCACCATTTCAAAACTGTTTTATGTTTATGCTTTTAAATTGCACACTGTTATTTTCTACTTTTCATTAAAGTTGCAAGGAAGTTTTATAAAACTTTAAGTGAAGCAATTCGCGTGCACTCGTATATTTGTTGGTTATGAACTGCCAAATCACAGCTGATTTTTATAGAACATTAAGGTTGCCAGATGGGGCGAAAAAGCAGATTTCGGAATTAACTCCATTTCGGGTTGCGCAAAATGGAAAATTTAATTGAAGTAATCATTGTTGTAGTACGAGCAGGAATCTGGTCCACAGAATCCCATCACTTGTTGCCATTTTTGTAATACAACTCGGAGAGCCAGAAACCTTAAGGGTGAACGAGTTGGGTGGGTATGCAAAGAGCTGGTTGGTGTCGTGTAATCGCTACCCGTAGAGATCGCTGCAATAGTCCGACCTGAGCTGAGCCAGGGTGCATCGCGTCTAGCGGCAATTCTACGCGGTGGGAGACCTGCGAGCACAATGTGCTGAGGTTGGTTTGTACTATGTCGTAATTTATATCATCAGGCTTTGATGTGCTACTCAATTCGAGGAGGTGCCTTTGCAGTTATTTAGGTGGCGGAAACGTGTTGCGATCTTTCAACTCTTGTACAGGGTGACGATTAACAACTGTTAACCAGGTTTTTTGAAAAATAAAAAGGGTGCTTTATAGATTTTGCGAAAAAGTATTTTCTTGTTAATTTTCCAGAGTTTACTTTAATTTTATTAAGTAGTTTTTAAATGTTTACCTTTGTTTGAGTCCTTTATACTCCCCCTTTTGTCCAACATAAGTCCTCATACTCAAAAACCGAATAGACTCGGAACTGGTGGCTAGGGGATTTACGGTTGTGCAGCACTGCAACAAGGGCGTAGGAAGTTACTCGTCCATTATCGAGTGGTGCGCAGTCCTGAACATACCCTAAAGTGGCACCAGCCAAGGCAGGTGATGAAGAAACGTTCATAGAGCATCACATGGATTTCTGCATAAACGAAAAAAAAATTGGAAAAATTGCCGCTTACATATTTTTAGCGGGTAGGGCTCGATTTGACTGGTGTCACATTACGATATATTCTGTACTGACACACCTAGCAGAAGAGCTGTTGGTTTGTCCTTGTTCGTGGGCTACGGTAGCGTGTAGGTGGGCTTTGGTTGTGTGTGTGTGCTAAGCCCGCCTGTGTCTGTGTTATGTGGTAGGGTGGTCGTGTTGGGATTGCGTTGCGTAGGTGAACTCCGGTGAGACGTGGAAGCAACCTGTGTGTTTGATGGGACCGGTACGTGGCGTGTGTTGTGCGTCACTGAGGCAGCCGTGTTTTTTGTTCAGTTAGAACAGCACGGGTCCACAAAGGAACTGGTTCACTGCCTTTGAGTTTTAAGACCTAAGAAGTGGAGTTTGGGTGTAATCGTTTGACTTATGCAGCAGGTGTAGTTTCTGGCCAAGGGTTTGACTCGAAAGCAGCCCTGTGCAGAAAAATGAGTAGCATGTAGTTGTAGTGGCCCCATGGACGAAAAACATATAAGGGATTTCGCCGACCTAAACAGGGTTAGATCGCCGAAACGACAGCCCTTGGTCGGGGTAAAACCCGAGTCATTCCATTACGTAGAGAACCTGTTGTCGTGAGAATGATGGGAGTTTAGTCTCCTGGTTCGCCTCGACTAAGATGTTGTTTTAACTTATGAAATCGGTTTGAAGCAGCAAACGATGCAGCGTGAATACTTTAAAGCCTTTTGCAGTTAAACTTCGCCTGCACGCATGTTAAGTCTGGGACTTTCTTCAACGCCGGCGCGGACAAGAAATGTTAGCTCTTTCTTTTGTTAGGTACGTCTTCTTAGTTTTGCAGTATTTGCGGTGCTCAATAGGTAGATGAATTGTTCTGGCTTGTTTTGGCTGGCAGGTAGAAGTCCGTGATTTTCACCTCATTTGTTTTTGTAGTTAGGGTATTCCCTACCATGTCTATCCTTAATATTTTGTTGTTATTTTTCTTCTCGTACAGTAATTTTAGAGGTTCAATCAGTACGTCCGATACCGTATTTGTTTGCTCATTTATGTTTTGTCCTTTGAAAGTCTTCTGTTTATATATTTCTACATGTTCTAATATATTCAATCTTTCTCATTTATGTTGTACTAGGAGAAGTTCCGCTGTTTGTCCAATCTTCATTGGTGCGCATTTACTTTTTATCATGTGATTTGCGAATTATAATCTCTTATATGTTCTCGATACCTTGTTCTTATATTTCGTCCTGTTTGTCCTATGTAGCTGTATCCGCATTCGCAGGAAGGAGTGCCTGGTTTGTGTATCTTCGGCAAGGCACTCATCGGAACATAAAGAATATATATATATTTTTTTTAAATAAACAATCTTATTTATTTACTTTTAATTGCAATTTTAATGCCAAATTTTAAACACAAAATAAATATATTTATGTATATATTGTATGTATGTTTTGTTCCAAAAATGTTTGTTTTGTGATTTATATGAATCTAGTTTTCTCGAATTTTCGCTCTTCTAAATACTAGTTATGTGTGAATGTTTTAGTACAATCAGTTTTATTTTTTTATATTTTTATATTATACTTGGTAAATTAAAAACATATTAAATTTCCGTTAACATTTTGTAGCCTAAATTGTTACGCCTATCGCAGACCTCATTCATTTTACCCACTTTAGTTCATTTTGCGTTTTTTTTTCTATTTTCTTTCCTTTTTTGTTTTGCATGACATGAAAAACTTCGCTCGATTTTTGCACACACATACAACATTACATATATATGCTTCAGTTGCGCAGCATAATTTAAACCACAAAAAAAAACGAATGTTTCAACAAAACAAACGCTATCGTCTATTTGTATTCATACCTAACACACATTAAGTGCGTTACAGCATAAAAAAAAATAAAATTAAATCGGAAATATCCAATTTCTAAGTTATTTACAGTGAAATACAATATTGCTTAGAATTACAATTACAAATATTTACTTTATATTTTGGATAGGTAGACACAGATATATGTATGTATCCAATCAGTGTTATCTATAACTTTTTGTTCGTCTCTTTCTTATAAGCAACATATAAAGCAAACGCTTATTTTGCACATAAATGAGTATAAGGTAATACCTACTCTAAGCAAATCATTAGAATTTCGACATTAATGTGAAGAGGACCGATTGACTTTTAGTTTATCTTATGACTACTTACATACATACATACAATTTTTACGTTTTTTTTTTTTAATATATAGACCAAATCAGGCGTATTTAAAAAATTAAGTTAAATATGATAAAAGATTGCGCAGTAAAACCCTTAAAAATTAGACTTGTGGTATAAAAGAACAAACTTTATACCTTTAAGATACAAATAATTCAATTGCAATCAATTCATGGGAATATAGTTTTAAAATATTTAGCAATATTGCTTACAATTATCATTTTTAAATGAAAAGTAATATACAGCAAGCTGCAACTGTAATTATTACTGCCGTGTAAATCAAATTCGTCTAGTGATTATCTTAGACTGTAGCTTTTGTAGACGCGTTGTGTGCCGCTGCGCGTTGTTGTCATCGTGGGGCTGTCGCCATTGCCCATAAGGCCGATATTAGCATTCGCATTGGCGGCAGACGTTGAAGCGTGATGCGTTTCTAAATTTAGCGGAAGCGCACAATCATCAGACTGATTCATTTCGTGCACTAAATCTCGCTTCTTGAAATAATCGATTAACTTCTTTGTCGATTTAATGTGCGCTACTGCGGAAGCATCCGACTAAAGCAAAGAAAAATCATAAAATGAACCATCTCATATAGCTTAAGAAATAACTTAATAACATGCGCATATATATTTAAACCAACTTACACAAGTCAAATCCATAAAAGTGTAATATTTCTCCAGTACACTAACGATTTCTTTGAATCCATTGCCGCGTAAATTTCTACGCACTAGTGCTTCATATTCCTCATTGTCAGTGATTAAATGACCAATTAGTAGGGCTGCATAACTACCCTTGATGGTGTGTTCCATATGGTGGCCAGAGTTCTTCAACACTACAAATTTAATTAAATCATAAATTATTAATTTATTCGTAATTATTAATTTATCAATGCCCAACGCCCAACGCCAATCGGCTTTCTATATATGTAATACAAATTCATTGGGTGTAATACTAACAGTTATTTACAGTTTCATCTACTTCCTCCTGTTTCTTTTTGTTTTTATCGGTACTATCCAAAATGGCATCTGTATTCTTTTCGACCAATCTATTTGAAAATAAGCAATATATTAAAACTTAAATTAATTTTTGATATAAAAAATCAAAATATTTAATCACCTGGCTAATTCCTCGCACTTGTAGAAATATTCCATCACAGCTTGCACAGCAGTCACCTTGTTGTGTTGGTGGCTACTGTATTCGGGCGGTGCATTCACTTTCATTATCGCCACTCGATTAGGTATCGTATACATCGTGAGGTTGATAAGCAACAGCAGCACCTTTATATTAACAAAAACCGGAGTAAGATTTTTAATTTCATCTTCTTTTTTTTCATACACTATTTAGCCCAATTTCTTACCAGAATACTCAGCTCAAAGACACAACGTTCAGGAATGTAGTTGGGTGCCTGCAGCAGCAAGCGGAAGCTAGTTTCAATTACAGATTTGCGTTGGCCAAGCGTTTCAGCACCCAACGCCTTCGCCGGATTGAATGTGTGCGTTAAATTGATAAGCACTTTGAGAAGTGGAAACAATAGCTCTCGCATTACAACACCGGGACTATCTTTAGCAGTTTGCTCCGACGAATCCGAAACATGTCGCATTATCTCACGGTCGCAAAGTGTAAAAAGGGAGCACAAGGTATGAACCGCAGCACCTTGACTATAGGTCAACACATACCGTTGGTTCTCCTCATTTAGTTGGGTCACATTCTCAAGCACACGCATGCATCGCTCGACAGTTTGCATGTTGTCGAGTAGCGACTGAGTCCAATGAATGTGTGTGGCACCATTGCTACACTCGATTACTGGCCGACAATTATCCGAAATAGTTTTGATAATGTGCTCTAGCCCACCAAGGGAGCGCAGCTCTTCCTTGAACCAATCACCAGCACGTTTGGACGTCAATGACAGCAAAGTTTCCATTGCCAATGTACCAACTGTAAGCGTGTCCACATTAAGATGGGAAGCTTTGCCTTGAGATTTGATTTCCTCACACAGTTCGCGCACTTTTTGACGATTTCGTTCATAATTGGCGCGATCTGAGGGTGCAGCAACAATCTCCGATTCGAGCAGATTCATCATTAATTCCAGCGAATCCCGATCCAAATCCATATTTAGACCCTCTTGTGATAGTATAAACATAATGGCTGATGTACATAGACCTAGACTCTGATCTAAATTTGCGTCAGAAAGCGCCTAATTGAGAAATAGTAAACAAATTTAGTATAAGGTATGAGTTCAAATTTAGATTTTCCAGAACTTACCTTGAAAAACTTTGCAACAACACCATGCGCGCGTACATGCATTCGGAAAGTGGGTATCATACATTTCGAGGCCAGTTGTAGTGCTGACAAGCAGCGTGTTGGTGTTGGATTGTGCGGTTGCAGTGCATCCAAAATGTACTCAACGTCATCGTCCATTTCCTGATATTCACCGATTTCCTGTATTTGATGCGCCGTTTTCACATTGCGCACCACCGTATAAAAGCCTTTTGCTTTACGGTCCACTTTCACGCTGGTTACTGAGTCGCCCGGCGCATCAATATCCATTTCATAGGGGCTGTTAGCGCGTATTTGTGCGTTATTTCCCTTTGTCACCCGCGTCAACTTGCCAAGCGCTGGACTATTTTCGCTTGAGATACCGCCGGGACTTAGACCCTCGCTGAAGTCATCGAAAATAGCATCTGCAGCAGTGCGAGTAACTGCTGGCTGTACAACTGACTCGTTCTTCTGTAGTTGCAAGGTGTTCGTGTTATCCACAGTGTTGCCGTTCGCTTCAGCGTCCCAACTGTGTTTGTATAGATGTCGTTTAGAGGCTGCTGATTGATCTGTCTGATCTTGTGGGACAAGTGCTCGGCTTTTGAAAATGCTACCCTTTTTCTTTGATATCACCAGTTTTACCGAGCCTCGATGTGGTTCTTCATCACCATTTGGACCTGATCCCGCATCATTGCTGACACCGTAGACGACATGTTCGGCTAAGAGTCCAGCCGTGGGCGACTCTACGACTGCATTGCAATTTGCTTGATTGTCTAGTGTTAGTGTGCGCTTGAATTTGTCTTTGACCTTATAGTCACGTCGCGGAGGCGATGATGGTGTTGCGCTAGCAGGGCGGGTGAGTGAGTTGGAATTTGAGTTGGTGTCA